AATCTAATTGCTTGTTCTCTGCCGTAATGCTTGTTAGCGTTTATTAGAGACCAAGAAACTGCCTTATTCTAGGCATGCAATGTAATTATGGCTCTAAAGAGCGTTGATATACTGTAATAAATAAATTTATAAAACCTAACAAATAACCTTAAAACAATTCTAAGAAATAATGTACTACAACAAACAGTGAATAATTAGAAGAAATTCAAAGCATTTAATTTCCGAAATTCAAGATCTTTCATTTTGTTTATATCCATTAAGATTACTTGTTTTAAAAAAGTAAGTAATAACATAAATTTATTTATTGCTACTGGTAACTGGGACTTCGGTTGCGTGTACATTTGTAGATAGGTTGTGAATTCGGTTGCGTGTCATCTTGTTTTTTGATGGTGATCAAACGACAATAATAAATAAAGAATTTATACGGCGCCATGTATTATTTGATCAATGTATTAATTAATATAATTCCAGATGGGACATTTAAATTTTTACACAATTAATTATTGCTCATCTTATCCTGTGAATATTATATCCTAGTTCCGCCAGCCATTTTTACATGAAAGCTGAACAAAAAGTCGTAGACAGTATTGGCCTCGCCACAATTTTATTTTATGTAAAGATAATGATATTAATTTATTCATTATTCTATTTAATATCGATAATTAATAGTGAATGATGCAGTATCTCGTAAAATTATAAATTGCACAAGTATAACCATTACGTAACCCATAATCTTTCTAATATTTATATATACGTAAATGAATTCAACGATTGATTTTTATATGTAGGTACATACCTACCTAATGAGTTTGTGGGTCAATAAATTTGTAATAGTTACGTGCGTCAAATAGCTGTAGGTTCTAAATATTCTAATATTGAATAGTTGTGTTAGAATAGCGTTTATATAACTTTATCAATATGACGGTATAAAATATAATCATATTTCTCATATTTTATTATTTTGTGAAGTAGGTACTTACCTACTAAGAGGTATCTGAATCCATGTAGAGGCCACGAAGAAACCGCCTTCTTATTTTGTGTATTGTGTATATATTAAATAAAAAAGTAATCTTAGTTATAGTCATTTATTTATAATACAATATCACAATTGTGTTTGAACATAAATACAATACATAAGAAATATGTCCAGTTATTTTTTAGGTATTTCAATAATTTTTCCTATGATTGTATATTGGTGGATAACACAAATATTTGTAATAGTCTAAAAAAAATTTATTTCTACTACTAATACTAGAAAACTATATATATGTGGTAGTACTAAATATATGTATATATGGTATAGGATTTATAAGGATTATTTGAAAGAGCAACACACAAGTTTCTTGCTAGTTCTTCTTGTGATGAGACAGGTTACCGAATGCTTAAATGAAGTTTATTTGAATAAAGGATTTTTTATTCTATTCTTTAATATACCAATCAATTTTTACTCATAGTAGGTCAGTTGTTGAAAGTAACTATAATACTAATGTGGATTTTTGAACAGAACGGTTGTTTCATTACTTTCTATACATATAAATAAACAGTGTCTGTTTGAAATACGATACATACACTAAATAACGTTTTACCATTTTTGTATATCTGTCTGTCTGTTCCGGCTAATCTCTGAAATGGCTGGACCGATTTTGACGGGACTTTTAGTGACCGATTTTAGAAAAATAAAGTTATATTCCACGCGGACGAAGTCACGAGTGCAGCTATTATTAAATATTATTTACTGAAGTAGGTACATACATATTCAAAATGAATTAGGTAACTATTAAAATATGATACAAGCAAATTGTTTTCTTACCTGCAACAAGTTTAGTTATCAACTTTCCATGGTAGGTAATATATACGTAGAGCCACTTCCGTATTGTATATCCGATTACATCTTTCATTCCACGTATCTAATCGAACCACGTGACATGCCCTTTCTCATTTTTACACTACACCTAACTATTGAGGGTGCCGTTGTGTACTACCATGGCTTAGACACAAAGGCTATGACTTTGAATTTGTTCAGTAGGTATAAAAAACTGTATCAAAATTTATATTTCTGAATGACTTTGCTTTGATGAAAACACCAATAACAAATCAAATTATTTGGAGAGGCGGTGCATCGGTCGGACCATGCCAGCTTTGTTTAAAATAAACCGAGCAAAATGGGGGCATTTGAATACTGTGTTTACAACGTGGTCCAGTGCCTCTGTTTACCTGCTCTGGGATAACAGTATAAGCGTGAAGGTATATTTATGTTATTTGAAACGAACAATATTATATATCAAGTATAAGTATCTATTTTAATAAGTTTTATATATGCCAGTTAATTATCTCTTTTTGTTTATATTAGTTCATACCAGTTTCAAACTATATTTAGTCATAGCGTTTAATTTATTTAGTACTTTTAAATTTGTTGCTGGAGATAGAAATGTATCTTAAAATTTCTAATAATATTACGTGTTCTGTGGTTAATCCGTTCACTTAGATGATCATATCAAATCACTCAGGTCATATGATATAACAGTTGGATGAAAAGTGACTGAGTTAATCTGGGTCGTGTGAGCAAGTTTTATATCAGCAATAGGTAAACATAGAGGAATTTGAAATGTTATACCACGATTATGGCATTACTCTAATCATATTACAATATTCTGTATATTTAATAGGATGTTAATATTCATCATAATTAAAATACGTTTTTAATTATATTAAATATACCGGAGTTTCAATTTGGAACTGATAGTTCTCTTGCAAGTATTTAGCGGTATAAGGGTGGAAAATAATACCTAGTGTAAAAAGGGATAGTAAATATATAGATACCAGTTCCTACGAAGACGAATGGGAAGTCACTTCAGAGATGTTTGCGATATTGAAATATGTGGTATTTACGAAGACCAAATATACGATTTATACAAATATTTTGGAGTCATTTCAGAATTGTTTCCTGGAGGTCGATCTAACGCTCAATAGTAATAAAGCCATTAGTAACAATTCCTTCCACCATACATGTTTACTTACGCTATTTTGCCTCAATTTAACAATCTAATTGTTTTTTTTAAACGCAGGTATGGTCTTATGTGAAAGCTGGTTTCTGTATATTGTACAGGTTTACTTTCATTGTTTGCTAGGTTTGTCTTGCTTGCCTAACCCTGTCGACTCTCACTAGAGGCAAAGGCATTCATAATCAAGTCACATTCGGTGAATTGCTTTTTGCTAACGCGCCCTGCTGCGTATTAAGGTGAAAAGGGATTGTTAGAAATGGGGATCATGGAAGCCCATTGATAGCAATAACTATGTCAGGTTGACATCCACAAGTGACAATTTAATTCCCGTCAATATGAATTTTCTTATTTTAATTATCTAGTAGTAAATGTTATTCAAATATAGTTTTCGTATTTGTTTTTAATGTTGCATTTTGCGTTAAATTATTTGTATTGTCATCAAAATTATAAAATTCACCTAAGGACCTTAGGCGCAACTCCCGATTCTCCTTTCTCGAACATTTTAAGCAGGTGTATTTATTGTTTTAATTGATGTAGACATAGAATTTTATTACCAATAATTTATATGAATTTTATGAGGGAACAGGAAAGTTGTCAGATTGAAATATATATAGAGCTTCTGATTATATTATCCATATTTTGCGATTTTGTATTTCCAGTATCAATAAAAGAAATTGTCTACCTCAAAGAAACCTCATATACTTATTTCATAAAAGTACGTTTAGCATTGTGAAGATACCTATCACGTTGAAATACCTACTGGGTATTGTATCTTTTTGATGACGTCATTCAGAACTCTTTTGAAATGAGTTCAAAATGAAATATTTAAAATTTTACCACTAATACTTAGTCACACATATAGTATGTCGAAATAAGAGACTAAATAGATATATAGACATGTACGCATGTCGCATTTTAAATGAGCTTCCACGCGCTCTAGTTTGAGGCAGGTAGGCATGTTATTGTTAGTACGTTACGGTACTTAGGATTTAAAGAAACATTATATTACCTACGTATTTACTCAACTATATTACTTATACTAATATGAAGCTACATTTCGCTATTTGTACGTTGTAAATCAAGACCCCCTTCTATTTTCGCAACCACCTAAATTGACTTCCAGGGTACGTTAATAGAAAATATTACAATTTGGTGGTACGACTTAAAATGGCTTTAACTATGTTATTGCTCTAAAAGATTATCAGGAGCATGCTTTTTATGACGTCAGTGGCACTCACTTAATGTGGCATATATGTAGTTCTAGAATTGTAGAAATATAAAGTGTATTCAGCACATCGACGTTTAACTATTCTGACCCCATCTAGGTTTTCACTTGTGTGGATATATATTTTATAGGTTTTTTTACCAACCGAATTGTTAGTATATATGTAAGTGCGTATAAGAATTAACCTTCTTGTATAAATATGTAGGTATGTATGGTAATGCTATGTTACTATAATTTATGAGAGTATTAATAAACAATAACAGTACAAATACTAATTTGGTGAAAGTGTGACATATTGAAAATTAACATTCACTGTACAAAACTACAAAGGAACAGTCGTAATGCGTAACGGTCCTTCTTTCCATTATTACGAATTGCAACGGCATATCATTACTATTAAATAGCTACACCTATATATACGGAGAACGATTGTCCATTGTTTTCGTAATTACTCTTCTATACTTTTATTTATAAAATAAATCGGTGTCTAATTTCGATTATATATATATTTACCAGCTGTGCTCGCGGTTTCACCTGCATGAAATTTATAGCCTAGGTATATGTTATTCTGATCATCAAAATCCGTTTAGTAGTTTTTGCGTGAAAGAGAACAAACATTCGTCTATACACAAACTTTCGCATTTATAATATTAAAGATAGTACTATAAGATCGTTGTACGTCTTGTATTAGCATTAGGATTATACTATCTAAGCGTTATTGTCTCTAATATTACTGATCGTACAATGTTTAATTTTATCAATCTTATTTACAGATTCGACGAGGGCCGTGATGGTTTCTTGGACTTGACAGAAGTAAAACGCATGATGGAACGACTTGGTGCACCGCAGACGCATCTTGGGCTCAAAGCTATGATTGCAGAAGTAGACGAAGATAGAGATAACAAAATCAGTTTTAGAGAATTTTTACTTATATACAGGTATTACACATTTCTATTAATTTAGTTTTTTAAAGTAATACAAACAAACAGATACTTTCGAGTACACAGGTAAAAAATTAAGTAGGTATACGTACATTAATACACGCTAAGGAAATATTTTTCATTAGGTAAAACAATACTCGTCATTATTTGTTAATAATTTTAATTCATATTATCATAGTTTATTAATCCATATAATATTTACATAAGCTACTTTTTGTGTCTATGAGCTTATTGTCCACTAAGCTTAGTTGTTTTACGCTATACCGTAGGTATATATACGTTTAACATAGACAAATATGGTTCTATAATTATTTTAAATTTTTATCACATTTTTATTTGTTAATTATATAGGTATATTACAATAACAAAAGATGGAATAATCATTATAATTCGTATTGTAGCAAATATGTAGTATTTCGGGAGTTGTTCATTGAATAGGTTTCAACAAAATTCAACAAATTAAGTGCGATTAAGTGTGACATAAACATGTATAATAATTGTGTTTGCAGGAAAGCACGAGCTGGTGAACTTGAGACACATTCAGGTCTTGAGGCACTTGCGCGACTAACAGAGATAAACGTGGACGAAGTGGGCGTAAATGGAGCGAAAAATTTCTTCGAAGCAAAAATTGAAGAACTCTCCAAAGCAAATAAGTTCCACGACGAAATCATCCAAGAACAAGAAGAGAAGCGAAGGGAAGCCGAGGAGAAGGCAATGCGGAGGCAAATGTTCAAAGAAAAAGCTGCACTATTTCAATAAATTTTAGTGCGTATTATTGTATATTGAACATAGTATTCTAGTCTGTAAGCTGTTACCATGGCTTAAAAGAGAGAAGAGCCAATTTCGTGTAGAATATTAAACGGACGATAAATATGCTGAATAAGGAATTTTAGCATCATAGACAAATTATGGTCGAGTTATGAAATTGCGGTGGTCATTTGACCATACATACGCGCAGAGTAATAGTTTATTTCATGGTGTCATTATGGAGTATAGTTTACTCTTCATGATATGTTTAAAAACAATGCTACATGAAATGACACCATTTCACGAGCATGGACTTTTATAGATATGTGATTAAATCGGAGAACCATGTTATTTATTTTAAGGCCTTTGCTACATATGTAGTACATATGTAGCAAAGGCGTTACTTACAAATAAAGAATTTGAAAAAAATCTGCAATATTTTGTGTCAGGACACAACAGTCAACAGTAAATTTACACTAAATGTTATATAGAATGTCTTACTGTTATTAATTATTGAAATAAATTAATTTTGCTTTCTACACTACTGATCATATAGTAATAAAAGGTATTGTAAGGGAAGAACATTGAAAAGCCCATATTTTTTAATGGACAATCCAGTCTAGGTTTTATAACATGACAAATTATAGTAAATGTAATGTATCTAATTTTAAAAAATAATATAATCATGTATAATATATGCCGAAACTACATTAAGCTACTTTGATTATTGAAAATGAGGAAAGTTCCTTTAAAAATGAAATATCTCACTATTATATAAATATGGACTATTCTAGAAAATTATTATAAAGATATATATTTTAGTAAATTAATTGCCTTAAATATATATTATGTTTAATAAAGTACTTTAGTTATGTAGTATGTTTAGTAAAGTTATGTGATGTTAATATTAGTTAAGGATATTGAATAAAATTTTACATAAAAATTATCTTTTATTATTATTTCACAATATAAACATGTTGCCAAATAATAGGTATTATGAAATTAGAGTAGTAAATTTAATATTTAGTAGTATTGAAGCATCATATCTACTTGTCTTAACTTCTAATACCTTATGAGGTAGATAGTCACACATAAAAATTATACATAAAATATAGAATTGTGCCAGATAGTGGGAATATAAGATTTGCGAGCATTTTTTTTATTATACTACACTACTATTTGTTACTGACTGTCATCCATTCCAGAGCTATTTCTGAAAGTTTCATGTTGTTCATATGTAACATTATTTGTATTTCTGCTCATATCAATTTGTTTATGTGTCACTGGTGGCAGATTCTCTACATCCACTTGCTGCAAATTTGCTAAAGTCATCACTAAAGATGAATTCTAAAACATAAAAATATTAGGTGGGTCAATAATGGGTAAGTAATATATTATATTTGTATAACAATATGAAATTGACAAACTAATAAAATACCTGCTTTATGTTTTCTTCAAATTCACCATTTATTCTTGTGAAATGTTTGATTTGTTGTAATTCAATAGAACTGAAAATAAAAAATATGTTGTTAGACTCAACAGTTTGCAATTAAATATGAAGTCTGAAAATAAAGTCATTCTGCAACAATATTACACATATTCATACAAATGCTAGTCTTTTAAAATATATATGAAATGAATCCCTATTTCTCTTGGGTATTCCATAATTTTAGAATGTCAGCTATTTTGAACATAAATACCTGATAATAAGATAAACAATTTAATATCATAAACTGTAATTTATTAAAAACAATTTCCTTTTAAACATTATTCATTTTCTATTCTATTTATCTGGTTTTACAAACATTTTTAACTGCCTCAGTGATTTAGCTGTTTAGCACACCGCTTTACTTCCAATGGTTATGGATTTGATTCCTCGCAGGACCCAAACATTTGTATTCATGAGTATGATTGTTTGTATCAGTTCGGAGGGGTTATCTATATACAAAGTATGTACTTACAAAAAAATTTACAAGCTTTAGGTAGCTTAACTAGATGGCGCTGTGTGATTGTCCTGAGATTATTTTTATTTTTAATTTACAAAGTATACCCAATTAATTTATATCATAGGTCGTTGAGTATATAATATAGATAATTAATTATACATGAGAGTGAGTTTCTTTATTACCTCTTCTTAAAGGATCAACCAATAGCCAATACATTTGAAATAAAGAAGCACTAGGTTACTTTTGTACTGGGAAATTAACTTATTATAAAATAATAGATATAACATATTTGATTCTAAACACTCACATTAAATGTAATAGTTGGTTAGCTGTTGTCAGTTCATTTTGCAAGTCTTGTTGCAATTGTTGCGATAGGTGAGCTGCAGTCGACATAATTTTGTGTATAGAAATTATTGGACTAAATGTACAATTATTATGGTTTTATTATTTCATGGTTACACTTTGGTTTTCAGCAGAAATAATACCTAATGTAAGCAAGCCAATTAAAAGACTACAGATTAAAACAAGAGAAAATGGAACCACTAAAAAATTGTACAAAAAATAAAATTTAAATAAATACAACTGTATTTGATTAGTTAAATAAAACTGTCAAAGTTATCAAAGTTGTCAAGTGGTAAAACCTTAGACCTCTTTAGATATGTTCCTTGCCTTAGAAAATTAATACCACAGAACACCAATACACTACTCTGTCTACGAGTAAAGCAGCACAGATCTGAAAGACTAGCAGTAACTAGTAGTGTTGCCAGATAACAATTTTTCTGTTTTGTTAATTTTGACCAAAATCACTGTAATTCAGGTTCGACAAAAATCCTCCATATTTAAAAAAAAAGTTTTTACCCTGATAGACAAAATAAAAATTAATTAAAATTTAGCCCATGTAATTAAAGCACAGTTATTAATTTAAACTACCAAGAGATTATCTGTGATATATGTTTATTTTTTGTTGCCAGCATACTTGTAGACTGCATTTTATTTTTTTACTTTCGGACTATTTTAATGCTATGACTATGTTAGCCGCAGCTAACTTTTACAGCTTCAAAGAATGATAGGGGTTGAATACAAATGCCACTCGACATCATTAGACCATCTTCGTTCATATCTAAGTTTAAGTTGTAGAGTCATATTAATTTTGTTACGTCAATATTTGCCATTTTTTTAAGTTTGGTAATACGGCGAACCATAGAGCACAATTCTTCCACTTATTCCATTTAATCTGTACATTTCACTGTCTATTTAATCTGTGGTAAGTCAAATCGAATCGAAATCGAATCGGAATTCTAACAATAATAAAAATGGAAGAATCTGTTTCTGACAAACAAGAAGGAAAAAGTATTGATATTAAACAGGAAAGGCAAGAAAATTTGGACAGTTACAAATATGAGTTCGATTCAGGCAGTCAGGATAGTAGTAAAAGTGGTAGCGGTGGTTATCAACGATGGGCGCCTAATTTGAATGGTGTGCGGAAAAGCGCTTTTACGCCCTACAAATCTGTTCAGTGCACTGCATTAACCAATTTACAGCGAGGTGAGTACATAATTTTAAAATTCTAACTTGTTCATCTTCTTTGTTCGGATATTGATTATTTAGGACGTCTCTGGTCGGTGTGGGATAAGTAGATCATTCAAGGTCACCGTTTATAGGTAATACGCAGGCGCGGGTCCCCGAGCTGCCCCAGCCGGACTGTAGCTTACACGCGAAAGCTGGTCGCGGAGAAACAACCCCTGACGAATTGAAACTGGAGCAGTATGTTGACATCACTGATGAGCACGGCCTCACGGCGCTGCACTGGGCGTCTAGCTACGGCCAGTTGAACAGTTGTCAAGATCTTGTGTGGTAAGTGTGCATATTCCTTTGTTCTAAGTACCTAAGATATATCATGTGTTAAGAAGTATATGTCTATAATAGACTTAATACTGAACTACATATACACTTCATACATATAATATTCATCATAGTTAAAAAGCAATGAAAATACAAAGATAGGTAATTAGAGGTAGTTATATATATAATTATTGAAAATACCTACATGTATGTTATAATTAGTAAGATAAAGGTTTGAACCTCTGTTAAAAGACAATGAGCTTAATTAACATGAGGCTAAATGTTTGTACCTTGGGTGGTTTGATACAATAAAAAAAATTCCTACATTTGTATAAAAATTAGATTATTATTACTTTATGAACTGAAAGTATGAAAATTATTGTTGTTTCAAGAGCACATATATTTTTTTTATACCTACCCATGTCAATTCATAATTTACTGGTATTGTGTAAAAATGTTTTTATACTAACAAAGAAAGTTGAGTCAGGTCTCATTGTTATAGATATTGTATATTTATGCAATTTTTTTTATTTATTTAAAAATAGATAGTATATATTATAATTATCTACTTTATTACCCTGACAAATTACTACTTACTGTTAAGACATTCTTTATAAACTAGACTAGAATAATAAAAAATAAATTCTTAGTCTATACAAAGACAGTAATTGATATTAATTAATTAAGATAAATTACACAAAAATTAATTCACAGGAATGGTGCTAATGTCAACATGCGGGGGCCTGAGGGGGAGACAGCTCTTCATCTGGCGGCAGCAGGGGGGCACCATGAAGTTGTCAAGTTTTTGTTAAATGTAGGAGCTGATGCTGATATACAAGATGATGTAAGAATGTGTTAGATAATTTCTAAAATGTTCTTTATTGAGCAGCTAGTTTTAGATTGCTAGCTTAAATTTTAGGAATATTTTTTATTATAGATTGTATTCATTATATTCAATTGCGTAGGTAATAAAGTAGTTATTTTTGTTTTAGTCCGGCAGTACTGCACTAATGTATGCAGCTGCAGCAGATTTCCCTTATACCTGTAATGAACTACTTGTCCGAGGAGCTGATCTTACTCTAACCAATGACTATGACCAAGACGCTTACACTCTGACTACAACTAATAATTGTAAATTGGGTAAGAAATCATTTTATATGAAAACAACTTTTGCCTGTAATCCAGCTATCTTATTAATTTAAATATATAAAGTGGTTTTGGTGAAAGCAAATCAAATGATATGCTATTTTGTCAGCATTTCATATGTATGTAATATTTGTATCTTTGTTTCAGCACAAACTGTGATAGAGAACTTCTTGATTGGCTGTCTCAGTAAGATGTGAAGTAAACCCAACTGTTAATGTTCTGTTGCTTTGGACAACCAACACAAGAGATTCATTTGCATCCATAGTGTTAAAAGAAAATACAGGGATTTAGTTTTTAATGTAAATTTATTAAAATATATATTATATATATTTAAGTTCATTATACAAACAATGTGATGTGAAACATAAATGTAACTCAATTACAGACAATATCAATGTATACTTTGCCTATTATTTAATTAATTGTATAAAATATTAAAAAATAGTAATATTTTTTAATTTAAAGTAGTCTTACCCCTTAGGGTTCATTTAGCAAATTACCTACCCAGTCTTATCTTATCCCCATGTATAGAATTATGATCTAACCATAGTTTTTGAAAAAACTTAAAAACAAACATTGCGTATTATATTATATAATACAATCATATCGCGGATATCGTGTATATACTTTTCCATAAACAGTCTTATATTTGGATTATGTTGTAGAAATTTTGTACAAAATGCAACTCACATGACTTCAAGCCAATATGGGTCACAGTAACACTATGAAATTAGTATATACATATAGTAGCACTATATGAAACCTAGCAATCAATGTTGAAGGTCTTATCCTCCCCTTATGAATAACGCTCATATGGCACCAATTTAGTCATTTTCTAAATTGAACCAAACAACCGGAGATTTAATGCCTACTGGTGTTTCAGATGTTATATATATATATAGGTTAAATTGGGTTCGGTATATATTATATATACAGATACAAGTTGAAAGTGCCTGTTAATCTGAGAATATATGGAATAGAAGTTCTGAATGAAATATTTTTAAAGCAGACAAACGCTTTTAATACCATTCATTCATATTACAAATGCAATCAAGCAATTATAATTTAATGGCTTCATTTTACAGATCTTATAACCAACAGCCTGAGTGTATATTTATATTAATGTACACTCAGGCTGAGGGGTGATGTATTCAATGCAATAGTAATAAAACATTAAACTTTTGTTACACCTTGTTTCTTTGGTGATATTTATTCACGTATTCTTTTTCTTACAACACAAATATTCAGTTATAACAGTAAAACACTAGTATAGTAAAATCTGGATATTACATACTTTACAAGATATAAACGTTTCATAAAAACAATATAAAAATAAATTGTGTATATAAATTTGTGGGTATGTGTGTAGTACAGTATTTATTGGCAATATTTATTGGATTTAATTTTTCTTGATTACATACACTACAATTACCTTACCATATATTCTGATAAATACCAGTTTCTACAGAGAATGCTTTGATATAACATATCAAGTCAATAAATAGTATATTTATTGTGTAAATATTATGTAAAAAATACTTTAAAGCTTTAATTTCAATTATTTATAACATAACATATAAAATAATTATGTACAAGTGAAATTAAAAAGAAATAGTTATTTTTATGTACAATATATATTTATGATTCAGAAGTTTTAGCACCCATAATTGAAACCCTCATTTGTAGGTTAATTATTAAAAGCGACAGTGACATTTAGCAACTACATTAAACCCCTCTCTATAAAATATTTTTTCTACATTACAATATTTACAATTTTGATTCTGTAAGCCAGTTAAAGGCCTGCGGTTTCCTATTAGACTGAGGGCTTATTGCAATATTTATTATACTTGGTTTATCCGTGACTGCAAGAGCTTTCTTCACAGCGACGGCAATTTCTTCGACCGTACGACAGAAATGGCCATTCTCACCAAATATTTCCATCATCTTCTCATATCGTACTTCGGTGCCAAGTGAAGTTGGCGGTATACTGTAAAAAGATTTAAAACATTTTTACGATTTACGAAATAACAATTGCTGGATTAAAATATATTACATTTATACATAAAAAAGTATCGCAGTAGAATTAAATATATATGGATAGACGAAAAAAATGGAAAATATATATGTAAGCACATCACTTTGGATAGTTTGTATTTTGCTAATGAAATAGCAAAATACGAATTCTTTTTTGTTGTGTTTGTAATTTAATAACTCTGTTATTTAATGCTAATGCATTAATTAACTCAAAGCAATTTAGTTTGTCTATACTCACTTTTGACTTACTATTATTAGTTGTATAAATGTTTAATTAATGCAAAAAGCTAAAATAGAGAATACTGTATCAATATTTTAAATCGTAGACTTACCACTGAGTTAAATCGCCACCAGATTGAAGTTCTTGCATGGTTTCTTTGTCGAACCCGCCATAGATACCGTTATTGTTCACAATTATTATGACCACAGGCAATTTATAACGGTACATGGTTTCAATTTCCATACCTGTAACAATCAAATGTATATCAAACATATTAAGGAATGTTAAAAAATAGTTGTTTCATGTTTTAGCATTCATGACAAAATTTGATGTCTATCAAGTCAACTGCAATAAAAAGAATAGAAATTTGTCTAATTTTTATAAATTTAATACTGATGAAAAAAATTTAAATAAGAACACCTTTCCCTCTTTACTTTCATTACATATGTTGGTCTATCAGATAAATAAACTTAAATAAGGTGACAATTGTCAATTTTTTAAATAAAAACTATTTATGAAGTAATTTATATTAAAAAATTTAAAGTCATTGGTCTTCTATAGATAGAACCAATAGATATAAAACATCGATTGTGTTTTGCAAATTACAGACCAGAAAAACCAAAAGCGGAGTCTCCCTCAACGCATATGACTCGTTTGTTGGGTTCGTAGTCCCGACACCACAAGGCTGCTGCTATCGCAAAACCTGGTCCAACCTGTGAATTATTATATATTTGTTATTATCGTTACGTTATATTCCAAAAATATAGACGAAGAAAAATATAGCATGGAAGTTAATTTGTTAAAAATAATTGTTTATGTTCGAACTCATGTTTGAAGTTTAAAGTATATATAATAGAATAAACATTTTTAGCACATAATTTTAACTAAATATATTTTTAGTATTCCAAAGTTAATGACGTTATAGGTATTATTTTGAGTATACTAACTCCCATAGTGCCAAATGTGCCGGCGTCGAGTCTGTGCCTAGGTTTGTTGTTGAGGAGAATTCCGCGTCCAATATCCATTGTGTTGGCGCCTTCGCTCACGATAATTGAATCCTTTGGAATGTTTGCTTGTACAGTCTTAAATACTGCGTAGTAATTCAATGGTACGGATGTGTTGTTTGCTTGAGCCTGAAAGTTTTACTTTATTATGTCCTGGTTTTGTACGTATATAAATACAATGAAGACTTGGCTTAAAAGATATTTCCCTAGCATCCAACTATTTTTAACATCGAGAAAGGTTTGTGATATCCATATTTATTTACCAAATGGTGTTTTAATTTGGATTTGTGAATGTGGAAAAAAAAAGTAGTGCCAATTTACCAATGAGAAGTCCTATACTGCTTTAATTCTCAAAGTTTATTAATCATCTTTACATAGTACAGGAAATAGTAAAATAAAATTGCTTTTGCTGTGTGCATCTAAGCTATAGATCTTTTAAACTATGCTACGGATCTAAAGGAGTCTTTAGTTTTAGAAAGAGTGTTTGAAGAGGGAGGTTTATATGTATAATACATATACACTCTTGGAATGTCAGCGTGGGTAGCTATTAATCTATAAAATTGCGAATAGTACATATTTGCATGCTTTTATAATGGATACTTATAACCAATCATTCTGTACAGCTTACAAGCATGTTTGTTGTATATGGAAATTTTTAGTCTTCAGGCAATACCATTATCATTTTGCCTTCATATTGCGAAAATTGGTTGATATTGTAGCTTTGGACAGAAAATTATAAAAACAGTGGGGCTTACCTCAAAAAATTCAGCATTAACTTTTTGTTTCTGTTGCAATGTTTGCCACCAATTATTGCTTGTTGTCTGTAGTGAGAATTTCTTCTCTTCTAATTTCTTTACCAGTGCCGCAGCAAATGGTTTAATGTCCGAATGTACTGCTACCTCGGATTTGATACTATTGTGAAACTCTTCTGGTGATATATCCACCTAAGAAGTAAAAAATTGTCCTATATTACATATTTTTTTAAATTATTGGTATAATGAGAAGGCACTGTCTAGTATACTTTTATTAGGAATTCTCACTAACCCACATCTGTAATTAACGGTAGTTAAGATTCAAACAAGAACACTTAAATAAATAATCCTTTTAAAGTCACAAAGCGCCATCTAAGCAGAGTTTGTGGTAAGAGTACTGATATTAAATATTCTTACGTGTAAATACATATACCATACAGTAAAATAACCAAACCAATATAATCATATGTTTGTACTATGCGATGATCGATCCGGCGACTAACCTTAGTACGGAAGCGAATACGATATGTAAAGCGTTAGACTAGTCTCTGTGAAACCGTCAATATATAATGCCGGGAAGATAAAATTAACACAGAATGATGTTGTCAGAAATTTAATTATAGAACATAATAATCATGTTCAATCCTGTAAGGACTTGAACTATAATAATGTGAATCTCTAAAAGTATGCTCAGTTATGTATAAAATAAGCCCAAGGTCAGCTTAGAGGCCAATCAGTTGTTTAACTATTTCAGGCTTCCAAAAATATGTACATAAATAACAAATATATTTACATTAACGGAGATGTAAATACTATAAACAAAAAAATAAAGAAAGCATACAATAAATAATATTTATAAATGTAGTAAACTCATTGCATACCAATATCAGGTGAAGCAAAAGATAGGGATCTCGTATGTAAATGTAAATATGCCCTAATGAATATAATAATGATCATTATTGACCAACCTGTATGACTTTTACGTCAGGTGCATACCGTGGCGGCTGTCCAAAGTGTAGCATCCAATTTAATCGGGCGCCTAACAGTAAAATGACGTCAGCTTTGAGCAGAACTTGCGTTCGAGCTGAAGACACGCAGTATTGGGACTCATCGGGGACAACGCCCTTACCTGAAGAAATGTTTTTTTTTTAATGTAGGTATAAATTTTATTGGTGTAGTCTCCATTATTCTGGCCAAATCTTGCCCTGAATCAACTTTGTGCCAAAGTCAAGATCTTAACTTGCAACACAAAGGGCACAATTTTTTTTACAATAAATTTTGATAGAGACGATATTAATGAAGTCTTCGTTGCAGTACAATTAGAACAAGAATGAGCACTAAAAGCGTATAAGATAGTGCTCTTAGAACTTATAAACATACAATATAATATGTGGAGTTCTTCATGAATATAGGCTATGAGTGCAACTTTGGCTACTTATTTACCAACTGTGTGTTCTATAAAGTCAATTTAAATATAATAATCAGCACAACACATCTTTTTTAGAGTTAAGAGAACTTTCTACAAATTTCAATAACAATTTTTTACCCATAGGAGTTGGCAGGAACGGCAGTTTGGTGTTCTCAATAAGTTTGGTAATTTCGTTCTCAGCCCGTGCATGCGCTGCTCCTTTCCCCACTATGACTAGGGGGCGTTCAGCGCGGGATAATAGTTCAGCCGCCTGCGAGACCAGTTCGGGGTCAGGGTGTCCCAATTTCACTGGCTCAGCGTTGTAGAAGTCTAATGGCACCTTGTCATCATCTACTTGACTCTGTTAATATTCAACAATAGTAATTTTAGAGTAGTCATTTTAAGATTTTAAATGTGACAAAATTAGGAAACACATTTTGGTAAATAAAAGTATTATAATATCCCACTTCTCTCTATTCTATCTAGTTTATTTTTTAAGAATATTAATGTAATATAAACGAATCAAAACAAATATATCATGGGAGTCGGAGGGTGTGCTATCTACATTATAATTTGATAATCTTTAATTCATGCTTCAATGAAATCTCACAATAAAGCTGAAGTCTTACGTGGTTCACGACTAATATTTCAACTTTATATTCATACATAAAATATGGCTACATACCTCACGAAAATATAAATCAGATACTGCAATAATGTAAAGATAAAATAGAGGGAGGAATATAAATAAAATATGTAATACCATGAGCAGAGTGCCAGGCATGTCGAGGTAGGAGACCCCGGGCCTGCCGGCCGCGGCGAGCCGCACGGCGCGCTCCACGTGTAATGGAATCAGCCGCGCTGACGGTGGCCGCGCCGCGTACTTGCAATACAAGCGGCTCGAGTCCACCTGCAATCAAATTAACAATAACCAACTTAGCCTACCTTTTTAGATACAAGATAGCCTGTGTCCGATCTCATGATACATTTTTTTTAAACTATTTGGGTGGCAATCAAGCACGCTGCCTATCAGATGGACTCTGGAAAAACCTGGGAAACGAGTTCAAAAAATTTCAAGGATTTTTACAGAAAAAATAAATATATTAGTTAGGCTAAGTGTACCCCGCGGCACTGCCCGCATTATTTTCGGTAATAGTCTATATATTAAAAAAATAAATTTGTTTCGAAAGCGTCTAATATTTTTTACGTTGAAAGAGTAATAAAAATCCATCCATCCATACTTACATACTTTTATGTTTGTAATATTAGTAGGATTGATATATATTAACTACTTAGTGATTTTGTTATTAGTACCAGACATAAATATAAATATAATATTTAAAATCGATTGTCACTTACAAAACGCCCAAAATAACACGGCATAGAATATGAATGTTTCTACTTCGACATAATACACTAGAGTACAATAATACACATAGTAGGTACATTGACTCTTGAAACAGATATGATAACAGCCAGGGACTTCATAAATATTTCGCTGTATAAAACTTAGGAAAAATAAAGAATTTTTATTAATTATTAAAATGTGCGCATTTTATCGTCCTAACTGGTATTCAGCCAGTACATACACGTGTAATAAATGGTATAAGTAAATAAATAGTTACTTGAAGTAGTCTCCAGACCATTAAAAGGGTAGGCATTAAATCTCTCCTCAACATCTGCTTCTTCCTTATCCCATTCATTTGGGTTCGGCGTAATATGTTTCTATCTTCCATTCATCCCTTTTCGCAGTAATCTCGTTATTTACTCACTTTGTTACCATATCATCTTTCACACAGTCCATCCATCTCTTTTTAGGCTAGACATTAAATCGCTATATAGACCGACAAATTAGTTGTAAACATGATTTCCGTACTTCTTAATTAGTAATCATCATATACTAATTATACTGTAAATAACTACGTATACAATCAAAGAAAATGCCACATTCAACTTAAATATAGTAAAGTTTTTTTAATAGTACAGCATTAATATGTGCTGTACCTTGTAATTATTAAATTGCAAATACAACTACTTGATTATATGACATTGACATGCATTTAATAAGATGTCAGTACTGTGAATTATGTTACAAATAATATACCATGACCGAATTTCAGCTTTGATCGAAGAAATAATTAATGAAATTATGTGGACATTGCACGAGGAATATCGATTTAGTACTATTAAGAAAGGATTGATTCTTCATTCACACTTTCCCCTATTACGAGGTTTAATTTTGTTAAGGAAATATACTACTTTTATTAGCCAAGGAGTGAAGTATACTGATTTTTGTGGTTATCTGTCTTTATGCCAAACTTTTAATCACAATGGTATCGATGGTTTAGATTTCAAAAGGTAGACAAACCGAGTTAATTGTGCTATATATTTGTATAAATAAGGCTGTATGTCTCTTACTCCTCCCTCCTTAAAATTTCTACACTAATTAATTAAATCTAAATGCAACTAGTATCAACGTTTTACACTAGTCGCATTTTCTTTAAAAAAGTTTACTTTGGAATTACTTTTTGTGACACATATGTCATAGACAATAATATGTAACTGAAAACTTGATTTTCACTAAACTCTCCCCTCACGCGGTTGGGCGAGGAGAGTGTTCTGTGAATAGAGATAGAAAAAATACTGAAGAATACCTACATCGTAATTTTACAGCGCGGTAACACGGTTAAAGTTTATTTTTATAATACTATATTACTTTGTTATTCTTCTTGGGTTACATAATAAATACCTACAAATACGAAATACTTTATTACGATTGTTATTGTTTAAACATAAATAATAAGTTTATCAAAAGACTAATGTAATATTGAGTCGATTATATTAGATTAGTTTGAAAAGCAATAAAATTATTTTAGAATATTATTAAATTGTTATTATAAAATTTTACTTATATACTTAATATTGGTAAAATATTTTTATAGTAAATATAGGTACTTTAGTCTATGACAAAAATATTTTTATGTAATTGGAATGGCAGAAGTTGACTGCCCACCTGATGGCAAGCGGTAAGCGTCGCTGAACACTATGAACATCACATTATCATGTGACTAATATGAATACCCGTAAACTCATCCGTTGCCGTTCCAGGATTTAGATGTCTTGGTTCTTATCCTATAATTTCACTACCTAATCTGACCCTGCAATCAAAACGCAGTTTACAAAGCAAGCTGCTTTTGGCAGTTCAAATATGGTGGGATTGAGGTGCCCACGCAGACGACTTTTTAGTCTACCTTATTTTCTGTAAGTTATAATTCTTGATCATTTGAATCAATGGTATGTCAATTTTGTCCGGTTCGTATTCAACATATCTATATTACTATTTGTGCCATTATCGCTGTATGACTACATGTACAGCATTCCGTAAAAAAGTGTGATAAACCCAAAGTCCAAACGCAGGGCAAATAATATAATAATTCGGTAAGTACAATTGATGTAAGTATCATCCATCGACCTATGATAATGTAATTATGTTCCTGACTAACATTTATTATGTATGTGTAATAAAAAATATAGTTTATTAATTTTTTTTATGACTAATAATATAGTTTTAGAGTATATCGATATAAAATGAGTTTTGGGTTTAATGAAATTACTAAGCAAAGGGGCGTGTTAACCTTTGGTCCTGCTTAGGGTACACCGATCGTAAAATGACAAGTTGTCTGTACTATCAGGTTTCAGGTCTCAGCTGGTTTGTGAATTTGTTTTCAATTACCTAAAAAAATCTGGTTGAGTCGTTTTATAGAAATTATAAAACGACTACTAATTACCTAAAAAACATTCATAAGGTAATCTCGTTGAGACGTTTTATAGAAATTATAATCAAGAAAAAAAGGGGAACGCCAAAAGATAAAAAAAATAAAAAGCAATAATCTCCATTCATGAGCGACAAGAAAAATATATTATCAATGCGAAACACAGATTAAATTAGATAATTTTTAATTCGTCACTATTACGAGAACTACAGAATGCATAACCTAGATTTTAAAAATGCGCTAAGTAACAGCATTGTTATCAACACATTAACAACATATCAGAGTTTAACACGTTACGTAATGTTAGGTACATTACGAGTGCAAATAAATAGAGATTGAATTGGTAGGTAAACACTATTATCACGTTGGATATTTTGAATGGATGAATATGGCAGCAATACTTGCCTACACTACTGACGGGATAGCAGGAGGACGATAGGATAAGGCTGATGGTCAATTCAGTTACAATTTAGATTTACATCATAGTGACGAATTTATCAGGAAGTAACCAGAATCCGCAGGAGGAATCTTATGAGGATTGACCTGAAGGATCGGGCCCTCTATTCCCTTTTGCTAATTCCCTCTGTCATATCACGCTGGTAAGACTTGGGCTAGTAATTTCTCTAAATTATTCTATAAAGAATTGGACAGAATTTTCATTTTATCTTAACTAATTATTATTCAAATACGTTTACAATTAAATTCAGCACAGGCGATAAGTTCCTAGGCATACTAACTACGGCTAATCGTCAATACATTAGACCATATATTTTTTAATATATTTACTTTACAAAGTCTAATGAAATATTTAAACACGTTATATACTAATTTACAATGAATATAATCAAGGATATTTTTTGTTGTTTCGTCATGTAATTAAAATAGTTTTTGTCACCTCCAATAGTTTGTCTTTGTGAGTTTAGAGATACTTGGTGCTAGTAAATATGAATATATTTGCTATTAAATAATATCACAATATCTAATCTGTATGTTTGTTTTACGTAATTATCTGATACAATACATGGTAGGTATACGTCAATAAATTTATCAACTGTGACATGTACCCAGTAATCATTTTATCTACAGATTATAATATCCTACTATAATTAGGGACATAGTTAAATGAGTATCATATTGATATTGCATATTTTTTGTTTATAATACCATAAACAGTAGAGCTGATGGTAAATTATTAAACAATATCCATAATCACCTGTAACACTACATATCGTCGGTTAAATAGAAAAAATGGCACTATTCAAAATGCACATTTTTTACAATACCAACATTCAAAGTTTTTAAATTTATTTAAGTAAATTATTTTTTTCTTTAAAGTTTTAACAAAACTTTACACAGAAGTATTATATATCTTTTTAAAAGTACTTAGATAATGATTAAGACGGCGTGGTTAATTTAACTGAATTATATAAAAGAAGGGAAATTTAGCTTCTAATTTTGAAAAATGACATTTTCTATTTAATCGACGATATGTCGGAGGTGATGCATTTTTTTTTTAAATATTGTTTGTATGTTTTCTTTGCGCCTCGGTCCAAATCATCGATTTCAAAACACATTTTATAGTACGGAATTTATGTATATCGTTGCATGTCAATAAATACATAGTGTAGACTGATTAAAAGGAACAGCTATCTTTATTCACTGACAATTCTTCTGACATGAGAATTTTTTTACGAACTTAATGCACAAGATACATAAGAGAATACCTTGCTTGTGTTTAACACATTAAAAAGGATTTGTCTTAAAGAAACATTGCTGAATAGAACAATATTGTCAAGATAGATAGGGTTTAAAATTTACATTTGTTTACTAGCTGGCGGTATGCTGTTTGTAATTAACGAATGACATCTGACCTGTGGCCACTCTTGGAAGCCTCCAATACCCTCATGATCTTCAGGACAGGAGCCTGCGATGACTAGGAGGGGCCAGCAGTTGACTTGTGCATTTGCCATGCCTCCAATGCAATGCAAAAGACCTGGGCCTGACACCGCGAGACATACTCCAGGCTTACCTAAACAAAGATAATATTTTTTTTATTGCTTCTAACTGTTACAGCAACTGTTTTAATGATTGTTTCAAGCTATATTGTAATATTAAAAAAAACCATATGTAGAGCTCGATACAAACTATCGTATTCCATAAACACATATGTCTTGCGAGAAATCGATCCCCCGATCATCGGAAGCAAAGTGATGTACTAAATCGCTGGATCAACGGCGCAAGCGATAAATATGGTACTGCGCACTGGACTACCCTAAAGGTATGACGGTACACCAGTACAGGATGACAAGATGACGATGAAGTCAAGTCAACCAGGCAATCGCGGCAAAGTAACCACGATGGTTTCTAAGGCCATTGTTAGCAATGGGGTCACAAATCTCCATTACTAACAATCTCTCTTCTCCAGATGAGAGCATTCCAGACAATTTGTGAATTAAAACAGAAGGGTATTATAACTGGGTAGTACCAACTAAAAAAATTTTACCGGTTAGATATCCAATAGCTTGTGCAGCATAACATGCTGCTTGCTCATTGCGCATTCCAATAAATTTTAGGCCAACACTTTGGAATGCAATGGCTGTTTCAATAACCGGAATGCCCACAATGCCGAATACATATTCCACACCCTAAAACATAAAAATAATATTTATATAATGAGTGTTTCCTATGTATGTATACGGAATGTAGGATTTGTATGTAAGTATAGTATGTCCATTAACTACTACATGTTTGTACACATTTGTGTTACTAAAAGAAAACACAAATGTGTACTTATAATATGTCATATCAGTACATGGAAGATATATTATATGAATAACTATTATAGTGTATATTTATCAACGTAATATCCTAAATGTATATCTATCTTATTTTTGTGTATGTCTATGTGTTTGTCTGCGTTAATCTCAGAATCGGTATAATCGATTTCGGCGCGATTTTCACTATATTGTGGTACGTTCAATACATTTAGTGAAAACTTAGAGTTCAGTATTTGTTTTATTCGATCGATTTATAAGAAACTTGTAAAATCAATATAAAGTTTTTAATAATAATAAAAATATAATGAAATAGTTCCAATAAATAGTTAATTGTTATTAATGAGTCCCGTAATAGTAGTAATATTAATTAACCCTTATTATAATAAATTATACTATAATTAAGAGCAATTAATGGTCTAATAAGATAATATTTGCCCTCTTCAATCATATGGATTAGGTAGCAATATAAATTAAATGGAGTCAACAAAACTATATTTATTTTTGTATATACATATGTTTGATCAATGTGCAGAGCCAAGATGTATCTTCTTAGTTACATCTTACTATTATTATTATGTCTATTGTTAACTGAACCAAATCCACCACCTCTACATAGTCCCACAGAGGTACATACTTATAATAGTCACATAAATTAATAACATAATGGGTATTTTTATTATAAAAAAATATTACTATGGATACTGACTAATCTATCAAGCATCCACAGACCTATTACAGAAAGAATAAGATTTTCACTTTGCATTTAATTATATATAATTGTTATAACTTAGGTGTTTACATCTATATTAATATATAGATTTATCATTAAGCATTGCATCTTATGTTTAAATTACAAAAAATAGTTTGAAGTTACTTTTATTACGTACAGTAATTAGGTATACCCAGTAGGTTATAGAATTTTTGTGCTACTTGAATAGTTAGGTATCTATTTGCATATTTTATTATAATCCAACCTAATGAGACTTGTGCCATCTCTAAGTTATTTTTTGTTACTAAAACTATGTAATATTCCTATCTCTTTCAAATATACTAGGTAAATTATTACAAAATATAAGTGACCTTCCTTTAGAAATTCTTTTAAAGAATTTCAATAACACAATGGTTAGTTTAACATTAACTAATTTCCAAATAAAAAGCAGCAAAATATCTAAATAATAGTGTTATTATGTCACACTTAGCAGAATTAGTCAGACTAAAAGGAATGGATAAGTGTGTTTTTGGTTTGTTTATTACTTTTGAATAGAATAAAAAAAAACCATACCTAATACATTAATTAAATGTATTGGTTAGAAAAATAGATTAAACATTCACTATAAAGAAATATCATGTGCCGCTGTTGTTGATCTGTAACAGATATATTGACTGTTCGATTTAGCACAGTGTGTATGTGTGAATGTTGGCTCTTTTTATTTTCAGATAGATATGAATATCTATGTATGTACATTGTAAAATTCATATTCATTAACTTGGGCATATTGTATATGCATGTATGATTTTTTAAGATTTTTACCTAACAACAGTCTATTTTAGGTAAAAAGTAAATGCTGTTGAAGTCAATTAAAGCCATTATTATACAATTTAAAAGGTATGATTAAAAATCCTCGTAATCATATTTTTTCCTTCCCAAATAAATTAAACTCCTATCAAATACATAATAAACACAAAATATTATAAAATCAACTATTTAAATATTACTTATCTTTTTTTTAATATAAATGGTATGATAGTATGAAGTATATAATATTTAGAAGTATTTATTCAAGTATTTAATAGAAGTATACTAGTTGCTGACATACTAGCTATATACTTGTATAGTTCATATTTAATTCTATTTTCTATTAAGGATTTCATTATATATTTTTGTATACAGAACATTTAGTGTCTAATAAATAATGTGAAAGGCAACAACACTTATTAATGTTGGACTATATGTTATTTAATAAAAATTTTAACTGGTGACAGAAAAATAAAAACATAACAAGAACTCACCTGTCTCTTCAAGCTCTCTGCCAATATATTGTTGCCGTCGATGCTCATGCTTTGTGTTAATTTAGACGAAACGTGTATTGTTCTCCGAAATGTAAACTGAGCTAGCCGTCCTATCAACATGATAAATTATTATATAAAATATATTATTTAAAGTATTAATTCACCGGCATCTAGATCTCAATACTTTATTTTTAGACGTAGTAGAATAACTTAAAGAAGGGGAGCTTAGATTTCTATTTTCTGGAGTGAGTGCACTAGACTGAAGTAAAATAAATTAATGATAACGTAAAACAAAGTCCAAACTTCAGATTGCAATAAAATTACAATAAAACTTACCCCTCCTGTGAGATTATTTTGATGTTATCTGTCACAGCCTCACACTCTGTCACAATCTGACTGTTTGTCAGTGTCAATCTGGGAGATGTGATAGATTTGATAATCTATAATGTACTGGCTTGCAAAGTGCTTGTACAACTTATTTTTGTCTTGACATAAAAAACTAATTAACATGATAACCTTTATCATTGTCATTTTTAATGATAAGCAATATTTTTTGTTACGCTTTCATATAGATATTATGATTCTATATAACTATTAAGCTACTGACGAATAATATTTTTGTTGTCGAGTAGAAGTATAAGTATTTACCTTTTTTGTAATTTCTTCAAAGCATTTTGACTGTGTAGAATAGCATTGTTTGGTTTTAGGTTGTAATATTTGTATTAAAATATATATCCCATTCTGTTATAACATTGTTTGATTTTTCGTAGTGTAATGTATTCGGTGACTATAGTAAATATAACTTACAACTTATCTTGATAGAGGACGCTATTGTATTATACTGCATAATATCGTGAAATATTTCTTTAGTTTGTCTTGGCCAGTAACAAATGACTCACAAGCACTTTCAAGTCATTGGTTCGACTATCGTTATATAAAATGTTTTTACTCACGTTAGGTTCTGGATATTATAGTAACTACTATTTTTTTAGGCCATAAAACCTTAATTTTAAATATTATAGTAAGAAAATACTCGTAGATTAAAATATACAGTGTTTAGTTCCTTTCATTTCTATTATCACTTTGATTAAGTGCGACGGTAATTTCTATTAGGTACATACTTACTACTATAATTAAAGTGTGATGAGGCGAATGTGATATAGTCTAAAATTATCTAGTAAGCTGTGTCTAATTTTTACATTAGAATAAGATAGCTACTTCAGTATAACATCGTATCATAATAATCAATAATAACATTGTTAATAATAATTCGGTATATACAATTAAATAAGTATGCATAATTAATTATGGTCATTTAAATAATTACTTTTATTTCATCAGAAATAACCTGCCGTGGGGATAGCGCCTAAAGCATTGTGAAATCAAAAGATTAGTGACTATCTGCAATTTAGTTATGAACATATTAAAGGTACATTCATTTTACAAATAAATGTAGGTAAGTAATGATGCCTTTATTTAACTATTTTCACATTCTATGAATGTACATCAGCTTGCTACAATAATAACAGGATTTACATAACTATTAGTTATTTGTTGAAGCAATAACTACGAAATTTATATACTTAGGTATACCTCATATTCAATATTAATTTTTATACAAATGCTTTGCAAACATATTTAATGTAGTTTCAGTTACGTTTTTCAGGTTAATTGTAATTAAAAAATTTTAAAATTCTCATGTTATACTCGTTCTTAAGTACCTACCTGTAATATTTTCTTACTTGATTTGCAATAGAAACGAGGTCCAAGACATATTTACATTTCGATAACTCCAAGATAGGTTGTAAAAAGTATTATAAATTAGGTTTGACGTTGAATTGGCTAAAATCGGTCTAAAATTCTAAAGTGTAGACAAAATGAATAATCTATTCAATTTTTTTCGTGTATAGAAAAATGTATTAACATTTATATTAAGAAGCAATGTGGCATGTTTTTATTAAAAAAATAGGTCATGCCCACAATAAAAATACGTATTCGTGTACGCTGGGGCGGGTCATTAGTTATGTATAGAAGACTAGATACAAACCTCTGTGTCGCGTATTTTATTTTCTAATTCTTAATAAAAGGTTTTGGTCTAAGATATATCACAAAATTATTATCTAAAATCTAAACAATGTCCAAATATTCATACAGTATAGATAATATATAAATAGTAATAATAATCCCCGGTAATAATAATAATAAAAATATTGTTAATGGTAATCGTAAGTACCTTTTAAGTCTCAAATATTTTTGAGTATGTAACAGGAGACCTAAAAAAAATAAGTAATAAGATTAAGTAGTGTAGGTAAATATTAATGTATAATTATAGGAAATATACCTATAATATGTGTTTAATAAGAACAAGTAAATAAAAAAAAAATAGTAATACACACACAGGATAATAATTTAATAATAACACAGACAAGATAACATAATATTAGGTACATATAAGGCGTAGGACGACGAAAGAAAGTGACAGATAATATATAATGTTTTCAATAAATATTTTTTAAGCTATGTTTTGAAATTACATTTAAAAAGTACATCTTTTAAATCACTCGGTAATTTATGAAATAGTTTTACAGAGCTATTAGGAGTACAGTGTTTTCCTCTTTTCTGAACGGAAATGCAATGATAACACCCCGTCAAACATCCCGTCACAAGGTGTTCACACGGTATGACAGTACGGCCACTCACCCACCAGACTTGGTTTGATCGCCGTCTGTATGATTCGCATTCGATGTGAAATACTTTGTTGAATCGCTTTTACCTGGGCTGTAGGCATATCGGCCCTAGGTACCGGCACCGGCGCGCACGTACATCGCGGACGATCTGCTCGTACGCAATCGTTTGAAACAAAATGATCACTTCGCAGTGAAAATTAATATAATCGTGACGAGAATAATAACAAACATTTTTTAAATATTATCTAAAAATGGCAGTGTTGTTTGTTAAGGTTTTTGGTGAGTATTTTATCAATTGTTCTGTACAAAGATACAAGTTCAGTATAAGTGGGTAGTAGTAGACTAAACTTTTTAAAATATTAATAAACTGGATTTTTTGGAACTGTTCTGTTTGTATATTAACTAATTAATCAATTATTATATATATCGCATCTAAATTGCCAAATTTAATGTTTTAATAATTATTATGAACAGAAGCGACATATTATCTAATAAAAAATCTATTTTTAAAGATGTCAGTCAATTTAATTTGATTCTTTATATTTTTTTTATTAGTGTATCAAAAATTGTACTGCAAAATTGATATTGAGGGTTACGTTCAGTTGTATTGTATTTACATAACATAGTGCGGGTATAATATAAATATAACATATATTGAGTAATAAGCTATTCGTAATTATTAACAGACTTATAATGAATAAATTTTAGAATTACAATTAATTTAATTTTTATTTTCTAAGTTTCTTGTACATCATACGAGAGGTTTTAGGTTTAGGTACCTACATCTAATTGCATTTCTTTCCTTTAGGACATGGAAAATATTATTGCGTGTGTGTAGATATCATTTATAACAGTTAGGTTTTTAATCTTTATTTGGTTTGTTTATTTTTCTGAATATTATTTCTTAGTATGAACGGTAGGTGTGTTCTATCTAAGTATTTTTTTCTATTTTGGTGCTATGGATTTTTAGTAATTATTAAATATCCATCTATTTATTTATTTTGACTAACTACAGCCTAATGGAGAAGGAATTCTTAAGGTAGGGGAAAATTATATAAAAAATTGACATACATTGGGTAGCTAAAAATATCCTAACTAGTTTTAAGAATATATGATTTCTTATTCATAAACCTCTAAAATTTATAAAAATGTCTTCAATGAAAACGACTTTAAACGCAAAGAACTTGACTGATCAAGGTCAGTAAAAAAATCAGGAAAATTGATTTAGTAGTTGGGAGAGATATAAAATCGAATTAATAGCCAGAAAAAGATTTTAAATTTTATTGAAACTTAGCTTTACGAAGGTTTCTTCAAGAATGAAAAAATAGCACAAAAATATTTTTCTATTAATCTTTGTTAAACTTACTTACTTAAAGTAAGTTATACTTTAAGTATGTAAACTCACGTAGACCGGGCTTGGTCGCCATTCTTAATAGTTATTTCAGAATTGTGCTTTACAGATATAAAACCACTTTAATTAAAATAGCTGTGTTTACTCTTTTGTTCAGTGGGACCTACATAATTATGGTTTAAAAAATTTAAAAGTCTATTGATTCACAACAAAATCTGACTTAATCCGAATAAAAATGGACCAACGTTGTATTATAAATAATGAGATATATACGGTAATAATAATATCGATTATAGTAGTACTAGACCTATCTAAAACTTATTGATTACAAACAAAATCATCAGAATCGGTATAGAAGGCTACATTGCGTTTGCATGGTATATTTGATGTACAAATTTTGGAGGCAGAGATAAAGAAAATTGAGTTTTCTCAATTTTAGTTAATGTAAAACAGAATATTAGAACATTATCTTGTGCAAAATTGTATTTCATCTACGTGGTTGTTACATAGCGATACATGTATCTCCACTTGTTTGCACGCTATTACAACTATTGCTATGGTAGTTAATAATGGAAATGTAACATTATTGCTACATCTTTAGATACAATGGAATAAATATTTACCTCTTTATTTGCTATATATGTAGAGTACACAGGTATATTTAGAAAAACATATTTAATTATAATAATAATGAAGGTACTTATAACAAATAAATGTTTTCTCTAAAATTATAAATATTTGAAAAATATAGCCTGATCAAAATTCCATTTTAAATATACATATTTTATAAGTCACATTATATTTTTAAAATGTTATTATAGAACTATATAGTTGTATACATTATCACCATTTACCATTACTCCATTCTTTCAAGTCGGCGGAGTATGTCATCTTCTTTCACTAATGGATATCGTTCGTTTTATGTGAGCTTATATACTCTCCTTTTTATATATTTTCTACACAGACCTAAGAAGGTTCTTATCGTATTTAATTTGTTTAACTAGTCTATCGGGTCTCATCAAATCTGTATTAGACCACAATATAACTTTCCATTATGTTGGAGCGATTCTCAAATCGATGTTTTAAAACAAGTAAACTGCGTAACTGAAACTTAATGAAACTTCATAAACATAAAACCCATTAAAAACATTGAGAATATCACAGTATCTATTAATGGCCTGTCCCGGGTTCGACCAGGTGAATATAACTTTGTGAGCTTTCTATATATATATTTTTAATACATTTTTAAACACGTAATATATACATTATA